ATAATGAAAGTATAAAACATGTTAATTTCTATTGAGGATTAACCTTATCCTCGTGAAATCCCCTAGATAGCATACCATGGAAATAGTTCAGTACACTTTTTTTTTTTCTTTTTTTGGGAGAAATCAACATACACCCCAGACAATTCTTTTGCTGTTATAAACAAATGCATTTTCTGTTGTTGTTGTAAAGGTAAGAGATTGCCATTGAAAATTTTAGATGTAAAATGCCACCCACTTCCTATGCATTTACACATTTAACACTTAAACTTTGTTTTTTATGTTAATACCATCCAAATATTTCATATCAGATGAAAAAAACATCATTTTAACTTCTAAAAAGTGAAAATACACATTTTTACTCATAGGTAAGGCCGTAAGGTGGCATGCATGTAAAAATTGAAGTTTGGGTGTTAGATGTTTAAATTTACAAGAATTGAGTGGTGTGTATGTAAATCTTCCTTATATTAAAGCTCGTGAGTAGCTTCGCATGTTGTACATCAAAAATATGTTAGTGTTGATCGTGAATAGATCCAAAGGTCCAAAAGGAAGAAAGTACAACAAAAGATGACCCACGAAAAGAAAACTAGATGGCCAACTTATCGGATCGGATGCAGTCGTTTGAGCCAGAGAAGCAAGGTCAAACCCGACCGAGTCACAAAAGCAACCGAATCCGAGAAGTTCGGTTAAAAATGAGACAGATATTCAAGCCAACAACTGCAAGAAAGCCGACATAAGGCAACAACCTACCTTTCGCGAGATCCGATCCAAAGAAAGATATAGTTTTACTATATCACCAACCATTCCACGAACACTCTTGAAACTTATCATCAGAAATCAAGAATTAACAATAATAACAAAAAGTCTTATTGACATCACACAGGCTATACTCATTGAAGAGCGAACTACCTATCGGATTACTGTAATTCAACATCTACTCGATAGTCCAACACCACACTGTTGATAGGAGTTCCTCATCAGGGATCGAGGGTTGACAACCAGACTAGATCAAATAATCGACACATCAACCAATTCTAGTCGGCAGAACCAATCATACTATCCCAAAGACAATCAAGCTCAATTGATCGGCGACTGACTCAACCTACCGACCGTATACAGCCTATAGAAAGATTATTTTATGAGAATGAACCTAATAGACAAGAGGTATCACTGTTGATTCACAACCAATTAGAATTCAACACAAGTATTGAAAGAGAAGGTGCACCGTCCAAACACAGGTGAAACTTTTCCTGTCGAGATGAAACCACGCCATTGTGGTTTCCATTATAATATTCAAAATACCAGTCTTTTTCTGATACTTTGCTGAACATTTACTTTCTAAGAAAAAGCTGAACTATTAATGGTGATCAAGAGCAATCATAAGTAAATCGCCTAAGAACATACTGAATTAACCATCACCATCGAGCATTCTGATATCTGCATCATATAAATTTTCAGTTTAATCCAACTCACTCAACTGTCTACTTTGTAGAGCCATCTTTTTTCTGCAGTGGATTGATTCATATGCAGATGTGAGATCAAACTTATCATTGTGAAAGCCCAACAATGGAGTTCTAGTCTGCCGATTAGCAATTCAGTCGATCCTGACTCGAAATAAAAATCAGGAGCTCTCAACACTATTCTTTCCACCCAGTGCCAACAAGATTCACGAATTAATCCCAAACTCGCCAAGGTACCTACAAACACCCTCAACCTGATTGTTTCATAACCTGATCGATTCAGCAAGCAGGTAAAAAACTTAGCCACACAGCAATCACTTATCCAAATCTCCTTTTGCTGGAGAAAACGTCCCAATGAGGGGTTCTGAAAACCCTAACAAACTAATATAATACCGACAAATCTCAGCACAGTGCCGGTAAGAAAAAGGGAAAAAAATTAGCACGCAATTGGCGGTCAACCGAGAACAAACAAGAGCACAAAGGTTCAGCCTCCCCGTTTGCAGACAGAGCAACCCTAAACTCAAAAAAAAAAATAAAAAATAAAAAAATTAACAACACAAGCATAGAGTTCTTAAAAACGATTTCCTCCCAACATAAACCAGATAAAAAAGCAAATCACAGTTTACCGATCAAAGATCTCAGATCTAACCTCTGTTGAATCAACATGAAACCCCAACTCCCCCAAAAAAAAAATCGTGGAAACAATTCCGCTAGCTGGTAGAAGAGTGAAGACGAAGATCAGAGCAAAACCTGACAAATATCGCATTTGGGAACCCTATATGAGGGATTTGAGGAGGAAGCAGAGAGAAGCAGAACTCTTTGATGCTTCCCTGCGAGCTTGTTGGCCGCATGTACCTTCTCATCGCATTCCCAACACAGCGCGGCCTCATCGGCGCAGCATAGGACCTTCGCCTCCGCAGCCTCACAAGCGTTGCACTGTATCTTCATCCCAATCTCTCTCTCTCTCTCTCTCTCTCTCT